GTTGATCCTTAGTTTCTCATAGCTTGTAAAAATGTAGAGAAGGTTTTGGACTTTCTTTTCTTGTAAATGTCTCAGCTATTTGAGTTATAAAATGAAGAGTGGTTTTCCCTTTGTGTTGGTTTGTATACAGCAACATTTGCCCATTTTACAGTGTATCAATTACTAAGATCTATTTACAAGAATAACAGTGATTTGTGAATATTACAAATATAAAACATATTATAATGATATAGCAGTGGCCAGTGTGGGATCACATTAGTTAATTGTAATCCCGAGTTTAATGCTGTAGCCAAAATGTCAATATATGCTGCAATCTACACCAAACTCCTGTGTCGAAAAAAAGAAAGAAAGAAGAGCCAACCTTTTCTCTCTTCAATAACCAAAAAATGCTGAATACATCAGCAAGAACTATCGCTCTAATATTCTTTTTTTTTGTTTGGATGAAGAACTATCGCTCTAATATTGATTTCTGCCATTTTTTCCCACATGTAATTGCACTAACTGAAAAAGGAGACAAAATTTATACTAATTATTTATAAACTATAAATATTTATTTCACTGTAAATATACTAGTATAAAGTATCTTATACCTAGCAGTTCTATCTATATAGCTTAGTGTTAAGTCGATCAGTTTTCTTGCTAACCTTGTACAGTTGTTCTAGTCCCAATCGTGGCATTACTGAATGTAATTATACAAGAAACCTGAGAAGAAGAAAGTAGATAGTATAGAATGTATGTAGGTGACTGTGGTAACGACCACTTACATTTATGTTTTTTAGAATAAAAAAGAACCACACACAAAAATCTAACAAAAGCATGCCATTAGATGGCGGTGTAGCAAAGTGAAACCCAAGATTCATATAAAATTACAAAGTACTAAGGGAACTGTTTGAGCTATGCTACAACTAGATCTCAAATACTAGTGGAAGAGCTGCAGCCTAAAAAACCTACTCATCTTTGAGTCTCTTTTCCACCTCCTCAACGCTCTGAATTTCCTTGTAATACTTGCAGACACGATAGATACACCTACACACACATATAAACACTTTGTAATGAACTGAAAAATAGATTGCTTTGCATCAAGATATAAGGCCCTAAGGGATTAAGCATATGTACCAGTAGAGAAGGCATGCTGCTACACACAGAATAGCATTTCTTTGAGCCTTGTAGATCTGCATATAATTAGGGAAACTGCAGAAGTTATACAGCCAGAACATAATGGTAGATGCATTTTGTTGTCACTGAGCTGCTGTATCGTTTTGCATAAATAGGAAAGAAGATGAGGGGGGACGAGTGCAACTCATGCTTCATATGTGATGTCAGTAAGTTCAAGTTATTGGTGAAGGGGATACTTGGAATGATGTCTCTCAGATCCAATGTATGAGAGCAATAGGAAAAACCTAAAATATCAGTCAATAGGTTGTGGTTTCTCGTATTTCTACAACAACATAGCTAGTGTAATCCCATAAGTGGGTCTGGGGAGCATGGTGTGCATGCAGACCTTACCCCTACTTGTGACGGTAGAGAGGTTGTTTCCGAAAGACCCTCGGCTCAAGTAAAGCATATCAAAGCAGGTTTGAAAATAAAATACAGTAGTGAATGGTCTCTCATATATCTGAACTTGATATTTTGAAGGTTCAGGTAGATTATATTGCTAAGACTGAACTCAATCTTTGGTTTCAGATCCACTGAAGTAGATCTAATGCATTTGATCCATGGATGCAGATAGATGAAATAAGAGGTGATGTTACAGCAATAAGTTTGCAAGCCTTTCACGCTATTAGCAGTCATGAAATGATCTGTTTCCCACCATGATGCCCAACCCAACTCAGTATATTAACACAAAACTTCTTTTTGCTCACAATTGGTATATATTTTTTTCCAACTCAATGTGTACATAAACATTTAAATAAAAAACAACCATGTAAATTCATCCTTGGACAAACCATTTAGTTAATGTTTGTGTATGCCTCTTCTCAACAATAAGAAAATAGATGACTGGCAAAAAAAGGTGATGGTAAGCAGCACATTTATAAAAAGGCACAAAGTATTTCCTTGTTGGTGCAAACTCCCCTATTAAGAAGTAGGAAGGGAAAAAAGAAAACAAAAAAAGAAAAATGAAAAAAAAAATCCGTTCAAGCAAAATGTTACCTTTGAGTTAAAGGTTTCATTCTACCTAGATGCATTTACACATAGATATCAAATCGATGAAATAATTTCACCACTTCCCTTAATTGGAAAAGGACAGAAACAAATTATGGTTTCTCCCCATATTTCCTTCAATTTGTCAGCAGATTACTGAAATTTCTACATTTCAAAGCAATGAAAATTACTTCCCCAATTGGCTCATATTTTAATCATTACTTGATCATGCACGTGTTGCTCCTGTTTTTGTGTCACCGTCACCATAGTTTTGCACTAGTAAAATCCCTAATAAGTTCATGTGAAAACCATGAAGAAGACACCCCTCAGTTACTTTCCATTTAGTGCCACTTATTACAAAGATTAATGAGAGCTACCAAAAAACCATTTTTACTTATTTATCTTAGTTTATCATATTGCCAATCTTTTTACTAATACAGACTCTTCAGTGTAGAAGTGTCGACGTGACGTATATTGGTATAGTAGAGTGGGATATGCATTGTATTTGGTTGAAGTAGTTTGGATGTTTCAACTTCTACCAACCATGCACCGCTAAGAAGTAGTAGTCGATTCCAATTTGAAGAAGAGCAATTATGACGAGTCAATATAGATAATAAATCCCTCCCTTGTTGTTCTCTTCTTTAAGTTCAAATCAGCAACTATCCTCCAACCTAAAAAGGTATTCTCCCTTTACATGATGACCACATAGTCAAATAACATGTATAACTTTTATTTTATTACTCGTATCTTTATATCAATCTCCAACAATCTGTATACTCCTCTTTATAGTAAATCTAAGGTCCTTTGAAAATTAGACACCTCAAAAAAAACCATTGTCTGACTTACATATCATAGTCCAGGAAACATAGTTATCAAGAAAATGTCAGCATGATTCTACGTCTCTATCCAATTTTAGAAACCGTGAAACTTGGCGGGGGTGGACCTAGCCTATAAGGTATCAATTCACGTAAATACCTGTATTTGTATTAAGAAATCTATAAAAATTTACAAATATTAGACCGTGAATTCGATTATTATTATGTGTTAACTAGAGATCGTTATAAGAACCCGTCAACTTCAAATCCTGGATCAAACTTGGCTTCATGGAGCCGTGGACCACTCTATAGAAGAAAACTTAAGAACAAGGCTTGAAGAAAATAGAAAGGAGTGTAAAGCAACACACATTAATAACATTATATTTTTTAAAAAAAGCAACACACATTAATTTTTTTAAAAAATGGAAGAGCTAGATTACTCCATGGTGTAATCCCCTGAGGTTTCTTCAGTAAAAATAAGAGTGCAAGGATCACATAAAATTCCTCAATTTCTAGTCTCAAAATTAGAAAAACACACAAATGCAATCAACTTGTTAACCAGCGCTAAATTACTATCTTCTAGACCTATTAATCACCAAGTCCAGTTTAATTATATACAACACTGTCAAAAAAAAAAAGGCGATAGAGAAAATTTACCGATTTCTCGTAGCGGTCTCTCTCAGCGGCAGTGCAGATCTCACCGGTGCACATCAACCGATGCTCATTCTTCCAATATATATCTAATCAAAACAAAACACAAAATTACACACCAATTCCAATAGATAGATAAAAGAAAAAGCGTATTAATTAGTACCAAGGAGCTGAAAACCGGCGAACGGGATGATGAATAAAGAGGGCTGAAGAGTGAGTGAAATTAGGGAAACGAAACGAGATTTGATTGCTTTTGGAGATGGCAATGTCAGGAGAATTGCTATGGCAGCCTCTGCCGCTACAACATACGTCAGTATCATCCACTGTAACGCCATTTTTTCTGAATCTTTGTTGCTTCTGAAGATGAAGTTCTTCTTATTATACAATTTTGGTGGTTTTGATTTCACATACAGCGGAATTCCCTTTCTTAATTGACAAGTTTGAAGAAGCCTCTTCTCAAATCTAATCAAGGCTTACTGGCTGAAATTACTAAAGTGTCCTCTGGATGAAATAAGCATTCATGGGGAAATTTGTAATTTACGTGAAGGTAGGCTAGAATTTAATCACCACGCCAAAAATAGTTGAATTTAATATCGGACCAGAATTTTTATTAAAAGTAACCAATAATATATGAACATGTTAAAACAAATCAATATATATGGGAAACAACAATTTGGTAAAAACTTTACCGATAATCAGGTATATATTTAAAAAAGTACTCTATTCTTACCATATTTCTTAAGAAATTATAAAAAAAAAAAATTATTATATTATTCTTTGAAAAATGATTATAATTAATGGCAAGGATAAATTATTTTTAATATAATAGATAAGTATTCTTAGAGCCAATAAGAAATTATTTCCTTTTTAGAAAAAATAACAATTTATTAATCTATTTTTTCTAAATCAATAAAATTTTATTAGTACTTCTTTTTCATACTTCTAAATTAAGTAATTACATAAATATTTGAATTTCAAATCTTAAAATATTATTAGTAAAATTAATTTAATTTAAATATAATTTTAATTAAATTTTCTCAAGAATCATGCCAGGACAAATAATAAAGGGACTAATAATCCTATCCCAGAAAAAATAGAAAAAGACAATCTTAATCTTCGTGCCACCTTTTAATGAAGCTGGTTCTTCGTTTCTGCGTTCAGACTCAAAATAATTATTTCTTATTTCATAAAATTAATTTATAAAATAATATATTGTTTTTTTTACTCCCATGACTTATTAGCTTTAAAATATACATTCACCAACTTAAAAACGATTCATATTCATTGATTAAATTAATTAATTAAAATAAATTAATTCGATTGAAAATTTGAGTTTCAAAAAAATTAAATAAAAATACATCAAAATCAAATGGAAAAATGATGACATTTAAAATGAAACAAAGGGAGTATTATATAATTTTATCTGGTGAGATCAAGAGAAATGTAGATCCAAATAATTGAAGCTAGAGTCCAGAATTTTTTTCCAAAAGAAGATTGACTTAATGAGGTTTAATAATCATTTTTCTTTTATAACAAGAGATATCCCAATTCGCAAGAGCCTCAAATGTAGCTAGAAGAGCAAAGGGGGTTCATTGCCAGAAAATCTATATATGTAGCCTGTAGGGTGTCTCTAACTGAAGGCTTATTTTTGGTCATGTGAATGTCGCAAGGGGTCTTATGTCACTACTCACTAGTAAAAAATTCAATGATCATCTTTCTTCTTGACCCAGAAACTGAAGACTATCCAACCATCCTTGCCACACTGAAATTAAGTAAACCAGGTTAAAGAAATAGTCAAACAACTTCATTCAATGCAGTTTGCATCACTACTACATCCAAATCAGTGAAAGAACCATGTAGGAATTTGACTTCCAAAAGTCAACAAATTGTTTTCTGTCTTTTGCTTCTCATTCATCTCCTCAACACCTCTATCTAATTGCATTAATAACAATTTGCATCACAAACAAAATACCAACTAGTACTAATAGAGAAGAGAGGAGAAGAGGAGAGTACAACAGAGGAAGGTTGATGGGGAGGTTCAAGTTGAATGGTGATCCAACTCCAAGACTCAAGCATTTCAGTCATCCACATGAATTAGAGCTATGCATCCAACTCCAGAATAATCCCACACCTTGTTCAGGATGCAAACTCCCATCATCACCCCAAATGTACACATGCAAGCCTTGCAATTTTACCCTCCATTTGAGCTGTACTCAGTTCCCAAAGCTGATAAATCACCCTGCTCATCCAGACCACACTCTGGCTCTCCTTCCGAGGTCTAAATACCCCCATGGCCTTTTCAATTGTGATGCTTGCAACCACCGCGGTGATGGATTCAGCTACCACTGCAGAGACTGCGAATATGATCTCCATGTGATCTGTGCATCAAAACCCCTCAAAATCACACATCAATTGCATCAATGCCAGCTGGAACTCACCTTCAAGAATCCTTATGCTGATGCCAAAGGTTTCTCTTGTGATGTATGCCAGAAGATTGGAGTTAAGCAGTGGCTTTATAGATGTGGCACTTGCGATTTTGATGTTCATTTGGATTGTTCAAATCCTAACCCAAATTCAGCAGTTCAAGGGTCAACTATCCTCCAGCACCACCATTCATTCCCTGGGGCAACAAGTTCACATAACCAGTTCCAGCAGCCTCCTATGGTTGAAAAAAAGAGGCCTAACCAGTTGGTGCAAAGTGCAAATTCAGGTGCAATGGGAATCCAGCTCCCACAGGCTCCCATGTTATCAGGACAAGCAATGCCAAATCAGTACACGCAGACCAGTCAGGGTGCAGCCCAAGCAAGGCCAAACCCATTACTCTATAGTACAAGTACAGGTTCAATCCCCCAGCACCAGTCCCTGCAACCACCTCTAATTCAAGGACTGGTGAGGCCTGATCAATACTTACAGTCTCCTGGGACAAACAATGATATGATGAATGCTGCATTTCAAGGACTTGTGGAAGTTGCAGCTCAGCAGGTTGGTCAAACTATCATGCAGGGATTCGTAGGTGGTGGTAACAACAGTGATGGAAATGAAGGCTCTTCAATTCTGAGAAGCATTTTTGGTGACTCGTCGCAGAACTAAAACATTTCATACCTTTTCCATTTCAATCTTATTATCAGTTAATGTAAAATAGGCACAACTTAAGGTTAAAATAGTATCTTGTTAAGCTACCACCCTAATTTTCTTTTAGATGCTTAGAAATGCCATTATTATGCTATATCCTGTGTCATAATCATGAGCCATGAACTCACAATGCTATACTATCAAAAAAAAATTACATCTTGATAAATGCTTATGATTTAATACTTGATTATCGAGGTTTCTTGTTCAATATTGACAATCCAGTTGTGATTTTCAAAAACTTGGGCAAATCCAACAGATCCACTGCCTTCTCTTGGTGAGATGACCAAACCTACCATCTCCCAACGCCCAACTAAGGCGTTAGGAGTTACAGTGGTTGAAAATTTGAATTTATTAAGAACAAACATCATTAGATTCATGCATCTTCATGAAGCAGTTGTCAGTAAGCCAACAAACATCACAGCGTTCTGTAGTATATTAAATGGTTTCACACTATTCGGCGATTAGCATATGGATATCGGCATTAAAGAGATGCATTGACACGGTATTAAATTCAGCCAATTCGTTTGCTAAATACTGGAGAACCAAATGAAGAGGAGAGGGAGCAAAGGATGTTCATTAGTAACTAATATGTTTGCATCCCACCTGGAGTGTCGTTCCAGGAAGTAGCTATACTACTAAAATGATATGGAGACTATCATTAAAACCCATAAGCATCTTATTCAACAATCCAAAAATAATGAAAAACATTATCTGCATACTAACCGACAACAGACAACAATGAAACTTACACCCGAAGTCCAGAACTACAAATCAAAATCAATATCTGGGAGCAATAGCGCTTGGGAAACAGGGTATATCCCCGTATTACAACAACAACAATGTACCAAGTGTAATCCCACAAGTGGGGCCTTGGGAGAGTAATGTGTACGCAGACCTTACCGTACCTTGGGAGGTAGAGAGGCTATTTCTGATAATTGAAAGAAGCATTTCCATCACCATCAAAACTAACCTCAAGCATGGCTCTATTTTGATACGCATTTAAATTATACAGCAGCCTAGTTTTAGATATAGGACTCAGTCTTTCAGAAAAAATTGACATTCCAATACCCTCTTTGGAATATACTGGATGGCTGTATCCTCAATTCTTAAAGAAAGCAACCTCTATCACTTAAAATATTAGTCTATTTCACCAACAATAACAACAGTTCTCTTTGATTCAGCCTTGTGGTTTGACTATATTGCTAATCTATTGAGAGGTAAAAGAAATTCACTCAATTGAGGGTTGACTACACTGTTCGTCTAAAATTCGACTATATTGTCAGGTAGCATGTAACTGAAAATTCAGGAAAAGAATCACGACATTAGCTACTCTATCAAATTCACACAATTTTAACTGGAAAGGAAATGGCACCATATAGAGGATTAAAATTACATGCCAAGAATAATCATCTTCAAAACAAACAGCCATCCACCAAAAATAAAAAAAGAATCACCTTCTACTATTTGACCTGAAAGGAGCACCAAATGAGAAAAGAAGAGAGATGAAAATATGACATTTACCAATGAAAATGTGTTAACATCAGGCAGATTCCTTAGCCTCTTCAGCTGCCTCTTCCTCTCGCAACTTCTTCAAAGAAGGAGGTGGTCTAGGAACAATGCTTTTCTTCCATTTCCGATCAAGCTTCCTGGATATCCTTTTGTTAATTCCTTCTTCCATCTCACGCTCCCGTTTAACAGTAAGCATTCGAGCAATCTAACATATTACGAAAGCCAGACCATCAGAAACAAAAGTAAATTAGATTAAGAAGTTAGACATGAGAAAAGGTAAGTGTAACTACCAAATCCAAGGCAATGGAAAATGAACATTGCTGAAAATTCAGGGAAGTAAAGCAACACAAGCATGGAATTGCTCATGGTAACATGTGACAGGTGAAAGATTAAGATTACAGTACTACCATATGTATTCAAGAACTTGAAGACCATCATTACTCATTTCAGACTCAGCTAATAATGCAACCCCCCCCCCCCCCCCCACAACACACAAAAAAAGAGAGAGAGAGAGACTGAGAGAGAGAGAAAATTGGAGACCGGAAAGAATGTAGGCACACCAGAAAAATATCAAAATGAAATCAAGGAAAAATGATGGAAAGACCAACCATAACTGTTAGAATTCAACCCAAAAAACATGCCCTCTTTACAAGTAACAAAAACAAACAGTTATTCTCAATCAGCACTTATGCTAATCTTTTGTGACCAAGGAGATGATTTCCCTCTATTCATCATGACGAGAACTGACTTCTATTCATCTTAGGACCTCAGGAGTGATATGCTGAGAACGATAGCCTTGCAAACACAAGGATTGGATAATTGACACAAAATAAACTTCAAATTAGGAAAAAACTTACAAGACTATTAACATGAAGATTAGAAAACCATTTTCAAACAGACTTATTAAGCTGCTCCAAGTTATTGATACTGAAATTTGGTTGAGTCTACTATATTCAAAGATTCGGATGACCTCACACATAAAAATTGAGTTCATTCACTGAAGCTCACCTTCATATAGTTAATAATAGGAAACTTGCACATGCTCATTTCTGCACTGAGCAGAAGCACTTGTATTACTTATTAAACTCGCAGAAGAAAGAAGTATAGGAATCAGCGACTCAAAACCTTGTTCTCCTTAGTCCCTAGTCGAGTTTGGAACTAAGGAATGATTGAACAACATACACCCACCATGTTCACACCTTGGATATCCACATAACAAATCAAAGGCTATTGAAACATCTTAAGAAGTACCTCAAATGTTTCTCAAATTAGTACAAAACATAGATGAAAAACTACTACAAATTCTTCATCCTCGTCATAGGCGAGCAAATTCCCTCAACAGCCTCAAAATAATTGCTGCTAGGGACAAGCTATTAACTGTGTTCTCTCTGGAACTACAATGCCATATAGTACTTAAAAATAGTAAAGCATAAATCTACCAGGTAGATGCAACTCCTCCAGTCATTAAGGATTCTCTCTTCAGAGTTCAGTGCAAAGTGATTCCATAATTTTGACACTGTTTTATGCCATTGTCCAAAATTTACTCCGACTTTCACTCAATCATGAAGATAAACACTAACTAATGCTAATAATGAGACATCAAAGCGCGTAAAGAGATGACAGACCACAGATTCCACTAGTACGATCATTTAACATCATTTGAAAACTCAAAAACCACACCAATTTTGTATGCGCCAATTTGTTTGGCAGTGGAAATGAGTAAAAAACACAATAACAAAGAAATTCTCAGAAACGATAAAAAACAGAAAGAGAGACAGTTAACAGTACCCTTTTACGCATCCGAAGAAACTCGCTTGACTTAAACTCATTACGAGCTGATCTTTGAAGACGAAGCATGAAGAGCTCTCCTTTAAGGTCAACAATCTCTTCCTGAAGCTCCTCAGTAGTTTTGGTTCGAATTTCCTTCAATTCGTCATCTCTCTTCGCCATATTCACCACCATTAATGAAGAAGAGCGAGTGGTCGCTATAGAATGCGCGCTTCGAGCATGAACCGGACAGACTTGAGCAATTCGAACGCCATGGAAGGAGGATTTAGAGAGGTTTAACTTGGAAGCAAAGTTAACACTTGAAGGAGGAGTGGCAATGGAGAGGCTCATCATCCTTTCTGATGTTCTAGCTACTATTGGATAAGGGAGTCTTTTTCTTTCATATTGATGGCTATGTTCTATTTTCGTTTTAACTCGAGCAGCAAAGGCCCAAAGAAAATGTTCAATTTTTTCTGGGCCTGGATTGTTCAAGTTTGACCCGAGATGCTTTTTTTTAAAAAAAAAAATTATAAATAGTTATTTTTTTTAATGACAAGGAAAATTCACGGTCACTATCCTTTGGATGCGCACAAGATAAAACGTCCGCTTCTATGTAATAGCTCGCAAACTACATAGGAAAGGTAGCCCGCACTAGGCAAGTCTGATGCGACGAGCTCGACCCAGAAGGCAAACTCCTTACTTTCACTGGCAAGGGGTTTCGAACTTGAGACCTCCAACATGGAAGTCTAAAGCTCAAAACACTGGGCCACCCTTCGGGTAAATAGTCGCTTTTTATATCTAGAAAAATAGCCATTATTATGAAGCTTCTAATTCCATAGTAAAACTTCGTGACAATGCTGTTTTTCAAAGATGAGGCAAAAGGGCTAGTGGGCGCTATTTCTACCTTTTCTTTGTGAACCTACTACTATGTTAAGGAGTTAAACTAATATTATAGGTGTTGAAATTATTAGTTGAGGTGATTACACAATTATTATACAGATCCTAAGTTCAAGCTCATCAACAAATGTATACATGAGATGATAACCATGTGCTCTCCTCAGCACCAACTGCTTTTCATGCTGATTTTAATCACAGTGATAAGAGTTCATAGTCTGGAGTTTCCAGAAAGCTCCAACATTAGGTTTTTATACTGCATAAATTACTCAGCTGTTACATATTACAACTATATTACAATATGTTGAATAGTGCTGTTTTTTAAAGAACTTCATGTGTATTCGCTTACTAAAAACAGCTTTTGGCCATCAGAGATCATGTTTGTGTCCAGGATTTTGGCTCCATCTTCTGACACTACACAATTTGCTGATGAAACTCTTAATTGCTCCTTCGCTGTGTTAATGAGCTCATCAAGGCTTTGAGGTACCCATAGAACGACTCCTTTTCTTCTCTCGTCTTTGAGTTCCTTAGGTTCTGAAGCAAACACTCTGCATTTAACTCCCTGTCCTTCATCTGTCATGCCAATAAATATTACTTAGCTCAGTTTATGATTGAGAGGGAAACAAATCATTAAAGACTTGGAACACCACAGAATAGATCATACAAAACTTGAGTTCCTTAAAAAACACAGCTATTTTAATAGTAGATTCATGATTTCCCTCCATTGCTGTTTGTTTTTGCACCTTACCAATAAAGAGACTACTGCTTTTTTTCAAAGATAGGCAACCTTTTAATACAATTTTCCAAACTGTACAGAACCCATGTTTTTGGAGGCTTTTGTTAGTCGCGTGTTGCCAATCAGAACTGATTGATAATTCCTTGTACTTCATGGAAATCTGTCTATTACAACTGCAGCTTAGAAATCTAAAAATCATGTTACAGGATGTAACAAGAGTAAGTGATACATGGATTGTGGATTATGGAGAACTCCAAAAATGGCAATTTTAGGTATACACGAATCTTTGCACTCACTAAATAAAGCAATAAAAAGACCTCAAACTCTTGTTTGAAAAATCAAAAAACTACCTTATTTTTTCCAAAAGGTCACGTCGGCCTAATTCATCTACCTCTCTGGTTGGTTTTCCGTCTATTTATACAGAGAGAAGATTTCAGTTGTGATATTACCTTGACTTCTACCAAAACTTGGAGAAAATTCTGATAATTGACTACCCTTTGCATCTTCCAGTAACTTAATAAGATTCTTGTTTCCACCTACTCGAGCTTCATCAAGTGGACTTTTTCCCCACCTACAAATATGTATGCAAATAACAATTTTGAGTGTTCAAGAAGATGATAGTACTTCGCTAAATATGTAGCAATCAAGGATTTAGAAATCATATCGTAAGCAAATGTCTTTGAAAATAGTGACACAATAAAGAAGAGTAAATTAAATGGCTAAAAAGTAGTTTGTGCAATTCTTGTGTGGAAATTTAAAAATCGAGCAGCATTTATCAGGAAACTCCACCATTCACCTGTAAAGACCTCAATGAAGAAGTAAATTTGTTTATGCTGTAACAGAGAGAACAAACATTTCGCGTATGAAACAAAAAATTAATCACTACATAAATGACTCTTCTAGTAAAGCAAATGTAACTGCATATATAAGAAAAAATAAGCTACAATTACATGAATATTATGCATGTTAGAGGACAGATGAACTTACAATAGATATTATGTGCAGTTCTCATGCTCATTAAACTTGATCATGTATGATTACACCTTACAAGCAAGACTAAGAGAGGATAATACACCTACTTCTATTCTTTTACTATAATAAGTGAATTAAATTCCTGAAAGTACCTGTCCACCGCAAAGACACTAGCCCCAGCTTCTAACAGTAATACTGAAATTGGATACAATCCTTCTGATGCAGCAAGGTGAAGTGGTGTTCGAAAATCATAATTTTTGGAGTTAGGATTGATGCCGTTGGCCAAAAGTCTTCTCAAATACTCTACATCTCTTCTTGCAACTGCCTCACAAAGGCAAGTCCCATCATTATCTATACCTAGAAGTGCCCCAGCTTCCACCAGCAAAGAAGCCACATGATCATGACTATTCTTGACTGCTTCAAGCAATGGAGTGTAGCCAAAGTTATCTGTTAAGATAAGGTTCTATGAGAATTCCTTTTGGGGAGAGAACTAAACATCAATGACAGGTAAATTGAAGAATTTAAGTCAAGCGAGATGAGCCAGGTAAATATGAAAGAGGAAAAGAAGTTACCTCTGCCATTGATCTCCACTCCTCTTTGGATAAGGAAAGCTGTAATATCTCCATGTCCCCTGGATGCAGCTAGATGCTGTATTTACAGCATACCAAAGAAGACTTCATCACCACCTTTTGACTAAACATATGAAACTATATCCAACACCTTAGAATATCAACAAAGATACTAAATTCTGTATGGATTTACTTTAAGCAACTGTTGAAAAACATCTGAACTCAGTCTTACTTTGAGACTGTTCTACAGTTGTTAAATATGATTTTTGTATCTTTAGGGTCAAGTGGGTCATGCCTAGAACAGTCAAGGAATTACTTCTCTGTTGGAAAAGTGGAGGTACAGACAATTGCAAACAGAAGATTTGGAAAACCATCCCTGGTTGCATTTGGTGGTCTGTTTGGAGATAAAGGAATAAAAGGTGCTTTGAAGGCAAAACAGAGCCAGATACGAGAATTATCTATAACTAAATTGTCTTTAGGATCTTGGTGTAAGATGGAAGATCTCTTTGAATTAGACAAGATGCTAAAGAGTTTATTAATTACCTACAGAGCTAGTTAGTTTTTCTAATGTAATAGCTATGATGTAAGTTGTGCACAATCTTCGTGCAGTTAACAGTGAGATAAAAATTAATGTAATTATCAAGGAAAAAAGAAGAAAGGACAATCTTTCTGATTGTCTCTTCCAGTCACAGAAAGGTCATCGAAAACTATATGACTCTAGATTCTTGGGAATACATTAGGAAGTGCTTATAAGATGAATATGTACATATTGTTTATTAAGGCTTATTTATAATTAACCTTGACATAGATATTAGGTAGCTAAGGAAACAAGCTATAAATAAATTAATGTGAGAGGAAACTGTAAGAGTGATAGAAGACTTCTCAACACATATATAAGCTAAAAATCGATACCAGAGGTGATCTTCCATCATAATCAGTTCGGTTAGGCTCTGCTCCTGCACCAATTAAACGACTCAGTCGATACAAGTCTCCATCATGAGCAGCACAGTTCAACCTCATGGCCAGCTCAGATTCATGTTTTGCAATATTTAGTGTTATGTCTGACTCCAATATCTTACTCCGAAGGCTTGACTCTCTTCCCTGAGAAATTCCAAATATCACATAAGATGAAAATGGCCCTTTCTGTCATTTTCCAAATGTCACCCAAGACATTTTTAAAAAAAATGCTACCTTTCCAAACACCTACGTCCAGTTGAGTTGCTTACTGCTTAACATAACATTTGAAAAAGAAAAAACAGAAATTTGGAAGACAATAAGAGATTAAAAACGAAAAGACCGAACCTCAAGGAGGTTATTGATGATCACACGACCATCAGAGAAGTATATTCCCAGAATCTCCACTAGAGATTGTTTATCAATTCGTAGTAGTCTAGATAGTTCAGAAACTTGAACTGTATAAGGGACTGGAATGTTACAAAGAACTGAAATTTCACCAACAGAGTTGTAAGTATGAAGATCCAGGAGAGATTCTTCAGTTTCATTTTCTTCTGATTTTGTTAGTTCTTCCTGTAGACAATAAAAATATGAACAAACAGTTAATACACATACAGTCAAATATCTATATAACAACCTTGTTTGTTTTTGAGATTTTTTTGGCTTTTATAGTGACTTCTTGTTATACACCTATAACAAAATTAGTCATTTAAATCTTATTTGGCTGTTATAAATGGTAATTTTACAAAGAGTGTATTGAGTGTATTGGTGTAAAGATGGTTGTTGATATTACAGGTAAAGACTGTTATAGAGAGGGAAAATACAGCATAAAAATCTATTCAGAGAAAAACTAGGCTTTTATAGTGAATTATTATACTATAAGGATGTTAGGTCTGATTGTAATAGAAATTGAGACCCTGTTAAGTTCTTTGACAACTCATTCAATCCTTGAAATAAAATCCTTCCCTTCAAGTTCATATTTATTTTAGTATCACTGATACAACTGATCTTATATCTGCAAAAAATGGAACTATTCCTAGTAGTTTTATGAATAACTATCTCAGATGGCATAATAGACATAACCTTGTATCTGTAGTTCTTTACTATTATTCCCACACATTTACATGGATAAATCATTTCTCACGACCAAATTAAGGGAGAGTTGGACAATGACAGAGTAGTGGAGTTCATTACTTATGCTGTTTTTGGCAAGCTAAGCATCAGCAACAGGCATCCACTAATTTCACAAAGATGTCTATTTAATTTCAGATTTG